TTTTCTTCTATTAGTCCTGAAATGTATAATTCTGTGAACAGTTTTTTAATTAAGGGGGCATGCATTAAAATCATTCTACCCTTTCAGGATAGCACATTTATGCATTATCCCAGAGATACATAACTTCAAGGGCCAAACTAAAGAACCACTGAAAATATAGGTTTTGATGTAGAGAAAGTTAATATGTTGAATAGAGAGTTTAAACATCATTTTTCAAGCCAGGTATGTTTTTATCGTTAGCTTTCAATAAAATTGATGATTTAGTTGTGCACAGTGGCATATGCTTGTAACCCCAGCAACTTTGGATGCTGAGATAGGAGGTTTGCAAGTGTGAAGTCAGCCTCAGAAATTTAGTGAGGCTCTAAGTAACTTAGCAAGACCATGTCTCAAAAGAAAAAAATAAAAGGACTAGGAAAGTGGCTCAGTAGTAAAGTGGCCCTGATTTCAGTCCCTGGTATCAAAAGAAAAATGAAAAGAAAGAACTGATGATTTAATCAAAGTATCTGAATAATGATTGATTGTAAAACATCTTTTGACTTTCGTGTGTATGCAGAATTAAAAAATTTAGTAATACTGTCATTTAAAAATATCATAATAGCATATGTTTTTCCTGTACCATGAACTTATTTCTATGAACTGCATTTCTCAACAAATCTATAAAAATGAAAATTAGGATTTTGTCTCATTCTAACAGTATGTTAAAATTTATATATAAGCTATTTTGAAAAAATATTCAATCATTTCACAAGACATTCAATTCCAATAATATTGTACTTTTCATGTTTAATATTTATCAGAATTTTGTTATATTTAATTTTATATTGTATGTTAATAATATTTATAAATGCAAATCTTTCCAAAACTGACATTTTAACACTTATAAACTTATGAAAAATTAAATATTTTTAAACTTTATCATTTACATATATATGTAACATTTTTGCATTAACAAATTATAATCTTAGTAATGAAAAATTTTAACTCAAGCAATATTGGGAAAGAATATAATGTAGTAAGAGAAAATTATGTACAGGGAATTAAAAGGCATATAATTTCTCCCTACTGCCTCCTGGGTAACTTATACCTATTTTCTACCCATCCTGAAAAAGATATATGAGGCAAAAACAAGTGTAATTACCAGATAAATTAAAATTATTGCTGATGCAAATTCAAAATGTATATGAGATTATTCAAAAATATGTGAGATCATGCCAGAATATTTGATTCATTGGCTTTTCAATAATAACAAGGAAGATGGTGAATTTAATCGTCTAAATGATGTCAGAACCAATTTACAGATAAGCATAAAATTACATGGAGGTTATATATGCACAGTACTAATCTACTTGGCAAACGTTTTCCCCTCAAATCCTAAGCTCCCCAAAGCTGCAAGTTTGTGTTGGAGACTTTATTTCTACTCACAATTCTTTGAAGAGCATGAGCAATTCTAACATGGGCCTAGCAGTGGGGTGAACCCACATTTTCACATATATCACTAATATCCACTGCTATTAATCATATATAGTCATTATAAAAATTTGGAAATTCATTTGTGTGAATCTCTTGTGGGTTAAGAAATGAGGGCAAACATAAATTTGAAAAATGGAATATTGTTATTGCCTAAATAATTGTGGAAAAAGAAAACATATTTTTTTAGGCTTACTTTCAGTGGTATAGTTATGGTTAAGGAGATGAACAGTTTTAGGGAATCAGACATGATTTATGTAAGAGACAATCATTTTAAAAGCCAGGCAAGTGCTTCAAAAACAAATGGATGTTAGCATATCCAAGGGACATGGGAGGGGAGCAAACTGAGGTAAAGGAGCTGCCAATGGCCAAAGCAGGGTCAATATTACCAAATATGTAATATTAAATCATCACCCAAAGGGTGAAATAAATATATATGCATCTATACTGAAATAAATGAATGATTAAAAATGATTGAAGAAGTGACAAATCTTCTTTACAGAAATATATATATATATATATGTATATATATATATATATATATATATATATATATATATGTATACATATATATATATACATATATATATGTATATATATATACATATATATATACATATATATATATGTGTATATATATATATTTTTTTTTCTCTCCTTTAGTTGTAGAACTTAATTTCATCCCTTTTCCCATACTGTTAAGAATTAACATGATTAGTGACTAATTCCAAAGAGAAAGTATGGAAAGGGAAAAATAACAACTGTTACAAAGCTGGCAAACACTACTTAGCCAAAGGATGAAGGTTAAGATCACTATTAATACTATGAATATTATGTACCACTGATGTGATGTGACAAGAAGGATGATTCTCATGGTGTTCTTCCACAGTACCCAGTTCCCTCATCAAAAAGTCAGGACAACATCAGACAAATATGTTTGATTAAAACATAAGACCATAGGATACATGGCATGACTTCTCAAGACTTATCAGGGTGATGAGGAGAGCTGAGTAACTTTAACAGCCAGAGAAACCAGAGATATGTGACAACAAAAAATAAATGTTAATGATGTACAAATTTCAGTTTCTCCACTTTGATAAATATATCATGATTATGTCAGATTGTAACAATTGGGGAATCTGATTGAAGGGTACAGTAGAACTCTTTATCCTCTCTTTGCAGCTTTTCTATAAATCTGTAATCCTCTAATTAAAACTTTTTTCCTCTAATTAAAATTTGATTTAAAAATATTTTCTGGCTTATGTAGAAGTTTACTTGTTAAATAATTACCTATATACATAACCTATATGAATATAGGAACCCCATCTAAGAAACTGAGAAAAAAATGTTTGCTTTCTACCCACTGATTTTATAAATTGAAAGCATAATTAGAGAATCTAAGTATAAATTAATGATAATTTGTTTTAAGAACTTTCACCTTCCTTTGGTAGAATCCAGTTCAAAGCCTGTGATTCCTGGTTCTTGGTTGTATAGAACTATGTCAACTTAGATACAGTCACAAAGAAACACTTTTGGATCATTCTGTTTTATGTCTTCCTGAAGTCTCCGCCTTTGAACCATGTGTAAATGGAACATTTATTTTTACCTCTAGAAGTTGTCAAGTCATCTGAATATGATCTTTTATACAGACTGAATAATTTGTTAAAGGCATAGGAAAAATGAACATATTTTGCAAATAACTTTTTTTGCAGTCAATATTTTTGGAACTTCAGTTAGAAATCTTCAGAGATATTAATTGTTCTCTGTGTAAGTTTGTATATGAAATAAATTATTTAAAATAAATCTATGCTACTTTTTAAGGCATTGTTATTGTCAAGCTTATTTTTTTGAGCTAAGATAGGAAAATGAGAAAATAATGGTAACACTGATATATTATGTTCTTTGGGTGTTCAGTATTTGCTTTGTATTTGTTATTAGTTCTGATATTATAGAGACTTACTGAATTTTATACATTGCCCCTCAGTATGCTAGCCAGCTGTGGTATACTTGCTTCTATAAATTATAAAAGAATTCTTTTTTAAAAAAATGTGTAAAAAATATTTTCATCTTATTGAAAATACTGAGGATTATGAAGAAATTGGGAAACATACAGAAATAAGAGTGAAAAAACAATAACTTGTAACTGAATGCAGCTTTAAGCAGTATGTGAAACATGCTTCAGGTTAGTCAGAAGAGGTCCTCTGAATTACACTGTGCATGCTTCCCTGAAATGAAACTGTATGTTATTGGTTAACCAGGATATTTAGCATAATCACTCCGCTAGACTGTGGTGGAGGGAGGTGATTATCACTGAGAACAGATGGGCAGGTCCACAGCACTGCCAGATTCTGCACAAGCTCCATTTATCGTTGGTTCTTGCGTTTTTCCTTCTGTGTTTTAAAATTTTTAAAAACATTGTCTGTTCTAAAGAACTAGCTGCACAAAAGGCCGGTGGCTGATGCCCTTTCAGCTTAGATTTCAAACGTTGAAGAAAGATTCAAAATGCTATCACTGTGTATTTAAGAAGGATGGGGCAGATTTCATTTTACCCTGTAGTCTCCCTCAATGCATGCACGGATTTATCTGTACGCTAAGCTCTCTGCTCTGCATCTGTAGCTCCTTGTGGATTATATTGTCTCTGTGATCAGAAATGATTTTCTCGGATATGAACACCGTTTCTGGCTCCCCTAAAGTGCATCCTCCTAATGGGACCCGGTTTTATACTTTTCAAGTAAGTGTGCTTTAAATGGCTTCACAACTTAGGAAGTTAATATGTAGTCAAACTTTTAATAATGGGCAATATAAAGAAGGGAAAACTGAAAAGTGTGAAAGTATTGAAGAGGATTATGGAATGGACAATGTGCATGTCAGCTTAATCTGTTTTAAAGTATTGAAATGGGCTGTCATTGGATTCTCTGTGAATTCAAAGAAAAAAATAGTAGACACTTAATTTTTCACAGGGATTTTAAATCTTTATATCCTAGAAAAGTTTTTGAGATGTGTTGTTTCTCCTGATATTATTTATGGCTGTAATGTGTACATTGCACAGTTGCTTTCCTTATTCGTCACAGAGAGAGTAGAATTAAAAGACATCTTTATGGAACTTTGCAAACCAAGTCCCTTGGGCTAAGTAAAATGTGTTATATTTCAGATACATAGCTCCAAATAGTTCATGTTATTTAATTTTGTTATGTGTGCAGTGTACAAGCAATAAAAAATACAGCAGTCTTAAGTACCATGTTTAGTATGCTTATCAATTCAAGGTAAAGTAGAAACTCATTAAGATGGAAGATTGTTTTATCAAAAAGTCGAAATGATTTATAATACAAATGTGAATGTGAGTTACAAAGCTGTTACCTACTAAATGTAATTCAATTGCCTGTGAATAAATCAGCCATCAATCTAGAAAATGGTTAAGTCTAACCTCAATCAGATCCTACCTCATTTTATCTTTAAATTGCATCTTTCAGTGCTAAGGTTTACATTGTAATTCAGTCATATCATCATTACATGAAAGAGAAAATGAACCTCTTCTCTGTATATTTTACATTATGGAAATCCAAACAGACTTTTGTTTAACAATCTTGGCTGTATAGTCATAATGTTCTGGAAAAAAAATACAAAGACCAAGAGAATTAATAGAGTAAAACTAGTCAGCGTATTTTTAAAGGAAACCTTGAATAAATGCACATCACATTTTTAAAAGTCTCTTGCCTTTGTAAACTGTAAGCAGTAGATATATTTATTCTCTCTCTCTCTTTCTCTCCACTTTCTATACTTCTATTTTTAATCCTGTCACCTCTCCTGTTTTACACTGATGCCTACTGATAGTGCAAGTCTGTGTTGTTCCAGAATATGTTCTCTTCCCAGTGGTGATCTGTTTATTGTGGCAGTGATTTAAAATGCAAGTGCCCTGGGGCTGTTCACAGAATTATTACTTTTTTCCTTCTCTTTATACTGAGATATGAACATTGCTTACAATATCCTGTAGCTGACACTTGAGCAGCTTTTGACATTAGGTATTCTACTTGAACGTCTTAAAGTTTAAGGGTCAGTAATTCCATATGCTTAGTCATGAAACAGGCTTTTTACAATTCTTTGAAGATCTTGCTGACACCTTTCCTGGCAGTTGATTTTCTTTGAAAACACACTGTAACAATTTTAACCTCTCCTTTTTTGGATGGTGTAATAGCATAGTCATGTAAAACCCTTCGGATTTCAGGTAAAATATAATCATAAGCTCTATTCTCCTTTATTGTTAATTTTTCAAAATGATATTTGATTCTGAGGTTTGCAATACCAATCAATGTCTTTAACTTTGGGTGTTTATCTTTTTGTTGCTGTTGTTTTGGGTTTGGAGGGAAAAAAAAGAAAAGACAGTTTTTAAAACATAAGAGTTTATCATAGTTGATTCATTGCCTTTATGTTCAAAGGAAAAAAATTAAACAATTATTTTTCTTGTGTACATTAACCTTTTTCAAGGAAGTATATTTTCTTTGGTTAAAACACTGTAAAAAGCAATGAGATGCTGTAAAAGTAACAGACCATTTGTCAAAAAAATGTGTCTTGTATAAATGTTTAAATTTTCACAAGTGGTTCTCATTATGGAATGGCATGAATGTGCTTCTGAAATGATCCTTCTTCAAGGAGTTTGTATTTTAATGCCTACTTTCTTAACATTATTCCAGCATAGGAGGTAACATATGCAAAAACATTTAAGATAGCTCAGCATGAATAATACTGAATTTTAGCTCCACTTTCTCATTAAGCATCCAAAATCCCTATCATTTGTTCTGAAATTGTATGCTATTAGATTTTAAGAGTACGATTTAGAATATGTTTGACCTAACTAGTTCAAAGGTAAAAATGAAAAGCCAAGGATATCTTCAGTTCATGATTTTCTTTTAAATTGCACTTTAATTTAGCCAGATACATTTAGAAATTTACTCATATACATGCAAATAATTTTTGTACAGAATATCTATCACTTGATTTAAATTTAATTTTCTTATGTATGATTTCTTACTTCCCTATTACTATGAATATACTGCCTGCATTTTTTTAATCAGAGGTGCATGGACCCTGGATAGTGCCAAAACCCAGATTGTACTTGATGTTTAATGAATTAATTATCACCCAAAGTTAAGTTATTGAGTACAGTTGCCTAGAACGTGCTTTAATTGGAAAAAAATTAAGATTCAATGCCTATAGGAGAACATCTTTCAATATTTGTATGTAATATTATAGTCAATTTATGGCACTATATTATGTACAAATAGGAAACCTATGTTAAAGCAAAATTAAATACATGTTTATATATTTAATATATGCATGTATATACATATGTAAATAAATTAGAACACAGTGAATTTTTTCTTAATTTTATGTCCATAATAATGATATTCCAACATGTTTTCACAATTATTCCTTCACAGTTATATGTTTGCAAATAAATATGTGTATCTGCTCTACTAAACTCGTAGATTTCACTTATCATGACTTAAACTATGAGCCTTCCCAGAGGTATTGATGAACCCTCATTTCCTAGAAATTAAATACATTCATCCAGTGGTTGTTCCCTATTATGAATTTACTTGTTTTATTTAATGGAACTCTGTGTAAGCTTTTGTGTAAAACAATAACAAGCACTATATTACTGTCAATAAACAAAGCAAAAATTTCACACCATTTCTTCTAATCAAAATAATTAATTTCTGGCCAGGGCAATGATCTAATGTAGCCCAAAGAGGAAATATTTATCTTTAGGGTACCTTTCTTTGTCATTAAACTCTAGCATTAATGACATATGTGTCAGGCCTATTATGTAGACATGGCTAACTTCCTTGCCCCCTAATATCCACTGAAAAATTAGAGAAAGACACTTTATCACAAAGTATGAAAACATAGTGATCTGCCATTTCCATGGTTCAAATAATGGATGTATTTCCCTTTCTTAAAGGATAAAGTTCATCTCCCTGAGATGGCATACAATGTCCTTTATGATGTGGAAGACACACAGCATTTTGTTCTACTTCTTTCCCAGGAAATTGTTTATATGTTTCTTGTGATTGACTGTTTCTTCATTAAACCTTCCCATTGGAAAAATATTGTCTTAAAGACTCATCTCAAAGCTAGGTCTTCCACAAAACTCTGCTTCATTCCTTCATGCTCTATTAAATATTTTCATCCCCTTTTCCTGCTTAGAACACTATGGATACAGTTATCATGCTTTATTATAATCCTCAAAACCTTTTTGTCAATGTGTCTCCACCACAAGGATATGGCAAATATACTAGGGTATATATATTTTTCTTTTTTCTTTCTTTTTTTTTTTGAGAGAGAGAGAGAGAATTTTAATATTTATTTTTTTTTAGTTTTCAGCGGACACAACATCTTTGTTTGTATGTGGTGCTCTGAGGATTGAACCTGGGCCACATGCATGCCAGGCGAGCACATTACCGCTTGAGCCACATCCCCAGCCCTAGGGTATACTTTTTAAAATTTAAATGATTAAAATATGAAAATTATCACAATATGCAACACATCATTTTTTTCTAAACACAAAGGTAGTTAGTGAGGCTTAAGTATGCATTAACAGGGAATATATAAAGGAAATTTTGCTTAATACTAGGCCTTTGTATACCACACAAAGTTGGCATATTCAAAATATCAGTTATATGAGTGAGCAAAGAAAAATTTTAATTTTTTCACATTTAAATACATTTGTATAGGATCTAGCCAACAACTTTTTGAAAATGTTTTTTTTTTTTTTCTTTATACCTCTTTGTCATTCTTCATTCATTGGTTTTTTTTTTCTTACTTTATTGAGAAAATTTAAAAATTTGATTAGTATATATTTTCACATTTGTAACAGGAAAGGAGCTCTCAAATGCATAAAGAATTTTCACTCAGATGATATTATTGGTAATTAGTATAGAGCAGCACAAGGTATCTTTGTCATCAAACATAGCTATAGTAATTATGGCTTTTCAGCAAAGAACCAAATTTGTATATTTGATCATTTTCATTATGCCTTAGTTCCCAGTATTATTTTAAAACTATTATTTGGAGCACATTATAGCTTTATATTGTTGAAAATTTTAAAATGCATTCAAAAATATCTACCAAATATTGGCACATGTGGACTCAAGGAAAAAAATTAGGAATAAAGGCAAAGTTGTCTTAGCCCTATAGAGATCATAAGAAAGACAGCCCCTTGGCTTCAGTGTTACATAATAATATATAAGCAGAGGTCCAAGTTATATGAGAGAATTGAGGAGATGCTTGTCACCTAATGGTATGCATTGATGATTATGAATGCTGGAAGTGTTTCAGGAAGGAGACACAGCTGCTCACTAATATGTGGGACAAGCAGAGTTCTGTATAACTGGAACATAACCTGGAGACTGGAATTGACTGTAAGTAAAGTGTACAGAATCATTTTAAATAGGAGCACAGAGTTGACTGTCATCCACAGGATTTGGGATTTGAGATCTAAGGATTTTCAGTGAAGAATGGCAGGCTTGATTTACTGTTTATTTAGAATGCTGGATACTCCCATGGGTAGCAATGGGGCTGGAGCAGAAAGAATAGTTTAGTAGCTTTCCAAATAATCCAGTTGAAATGTTATGATTTCCACATTGTACAGACAAAAGAAATGTTCACAAAAGATGCCCAAAGAGTTATTAATAATTCAGTCATCAAGTAATATAGTTTCTGTTTTGAATATAGTGTTTTAAAACATAAATCTATGATCTTTCCTTATAAGCTGATACCTAAAGTATTGATTAAATGTAGGAGCACAAATATTTTAAGATAAATAATTTCTAATCCCATTGATGTATTATGGCAGAAATTTATAAAAACTTGATCCCCTGACTTTGAAACATTATGATAAAGCCACATTGCATTATTAAATTTAAGACTTTCATTTCATTGCATCTTCTCATTTAACCTTAACTGACACAATTTTCTCCTAGTTGGAAATATGTATATTTCTAATAAACTTATGTCCTGGAATTGCTATGAAAGACATAAAGGGAAATTGAGAAAAAATATCTATTCTAACTTTAATTTAAGCATGTTCTATATATCAGTGTGACCAACTACAGAAATCAATAAATATCCCATGGGTTTCCATATAGATAATCAATCATAACTCTTCTATTTGCAGAAGTTTTTGCTTAATGGAAGTCTGCAAGGCTGTGTGTTTTATAAGGACAGGAACAGTGCCCTTCTTTTCATTTTTAAATCATTAACACAAAAGCAGATTGCCCGGCATACAGACATAATGAGTACATAGGAGTTGTATTAAATTAAAAATTGGAGAAGAACTTCTTATTATGCATCATATGAGTGTTAGTTCTATCCCGACTTAGGATAACTTCCTCATAGAAGCAAATGGTTATAAGATTACCAAGGTAGTGTTTACAGATGTATTTTACTATACCTAGCTAAAATAGCTTCATGTTTCAGGTAATACCTGGAGAGGAGGGAAATTGGAATTGGGAAAATCACTCTCCAGGCCCTTGAGATGAAGCATTTAGTTCACTTAGCACAGTGCTCAGTAAACAAGAAACCACCACAATGGCAGTAGTACTCAGAGCTGTGGTCCATATACCATAGCAGAGGCCGCAAAGATGGGAGCTAAGAGAAGGTAAGCACAAGGGGAAAGTTAAACGAATTTATGAACTTGCTGAATATAGGAGACAAAAAAGGACACAATAAAATTGTAAATTCCAAAGTTCCTAGTGAGTAAGGATGAGAAGAACATGGAAAAGGAGCAGGTTTGGAAAACCATTTGCTGAGTTCTGTTTTTGACAGATTGAGTAGACAGCTGGAAACAGGTTTGCCTCTCAGGAGAGGGATCTGTCTGAGTTGTAGGTGTAAATGTGGTAGACATCTGCTTACAGGGTAGGAAAACTATGGTAGTAGAAGAAATGACCTAGGCAAGAATAAGGAGATTGGGGTGGGGTCAAGGAATGAAATCCTTGAACACATTGACTTACCCAGAATTATTATCATTTTGAGTACATATGCTTGATTTAATTTGCCATCACATATTAGAAGTTGTTTTCCTTTTTAACAATCCGTGAGTACTAACCTTGAAGCTAACCAAAGTTAGATGCTCTTGAATTTGTATTTGCTTTGTCTTGTAAATACATTTTGGGAGCTTTTTCCTCCTGGAATATCATCCCTGAATGTTGCTAAATTAAATCCTCC